TGCTAACCAATGTATAAATGCATAGTAAGATGGTACCTGCCCTGAAGATGTTCCAAACTAAGTAGACAAGGAGTCAAACACAATAATTATCTGTATTTTATGGAGGAGGAACAGAAGCACAAAGCGATTAACTGACTTACCCAAAGTCACACAGGAAGTCTGTGGCAGAACCAGACATGTAATTTGGAGCTTTCAGTCTACTGCCCTAATCACAATACCATCCTTCCTCACTGAAGTTAATGGCTGATTTCAAAGGAAGATTTTGCTATCTTAACTTATAGCTTGACTTTAGTAAGACTTTTGATACTGGAGTACTTGTGGCACCTTAGAGACTAAAAAATTTATTTGAGCATAAGCTTTCATGGGCTACAGCCCACGTCGTCGGATGCATAGAATGGAACATATAGTGAGGAGATATATATACATACAGAGAACATGAAAAAGCGGGAGTTGCCCTACCAATTCTAAGAGACTAATTAACTAAGATGAGCTATTATCAGCAGGCGAAAAAAAACTTTTGTAGTGATAATCAAGATAGCCCATTTAAGACAGTTTGACAAGAAGGTGTGAGGATACTTAACATGGGGAAATAGATTCAATGTAAGTAATGGCTCAGACATTCCCAGTCTCTATTTAAACCTAAGTCGATGGTATCTAGTTTGCATATTAAATCAAGTTCAGCAGTTTCTTGCTGGAATCTGTTTTTGAAGCTTTTCTGTTTCAAAATTGCCACCTTTAAGTCTGTTACTGAGTGATCAGAGAGGTTGAAATGTTCTCCTACTGGTTTTTGAATGTTATGATTCCTGATGTCAGATTTGTGTCCATTTATTCTTTTGCGTAGAGACTGTCCGGTTTGGCCAATGTACATGGCAGAGGGGCATTGCTGGCACACGATGGCATATATCACATTGGTAGATGTGCAGGTGAACGAACCCCTGATGGTGTGGCTGATGTGATTAGGTCCTATGATGGTGTCACTTGAATAGATATGTGGACAGAGTTGGCATCGGGCTTTGTTGCAAGGATAGGTTCCTGGGTTAGTGTTTTTGCTGTGTGGTGTGTAGTTGCTGGTGAGTATTGGCTTCAGGTTGGGGGGCTGTCTGTAAGTGAGGACAGGTCTGTCTCCCAAGATCTGTGAGAGTGAGGGATCATCTTTCAGGATAGATTGTAGATCTTAGATGATACTGCCTCTCATGATCTTCTCATAAACAAACTAGGGAAATACAACCTAGTGGAGTAGTAGATGGAGCTACTTTAAGGAGGATACATAACTGGTTGGAAAACCATTCCCAGGGAGTAATCATCAGTGGTTCACAGTCAAGCTGGAAGGGCATATCAAGTATGGTCCCACAGGGATTGGTCCTCGGTCTGGTTCTGTTCAATATCTTCAATATCTGAATTCTGGTAGGCTGAGTAAAACACCATAAATAATCAACTTTTATCTGCCACAGAAAAGTACTACAGGCAGCTGTGATTCAGACCCTTCTATCATTATAATACTGGAAACACATTGCTGCTATCACCTCTAAAAATTAATAAGGCTTCAGAGCTTGACATGAACATTGGAGAAAGTTGTTCTCATTGCCTGCGTGTCCTGATGGCAGCAGGTCTATGGATTAGCGTAATACATCAATTTCAAAAACATCTTCATGAGTTATTGTATATATGTTACATCCCAGGCTGCTTTGTCTCAAAATCCATATAAAGCTCAGGTGCATATAATAAGTAGTACATATGATGGGCAGGAAATTGTTGCATGCAGTTTTTGCTCTTGGTCACTTACCTTTTTTAGAGAATTTTATTTTTCCTTCACTGTTGTGGACAGAGCTCTCAGTGCGTGTTCAATTTCATTGAGCAAAAGCCCTGTAATATCAGACTTTCAGTAATATGTTTCCCTTTGTACCATTTTCTTTGTTTACACAGCCTTCTGCTTCAGCCGCTTTCTAACATTTTGTAACATACATGTTTAAATTCTGTCCGGAATTTAAACAGGTAACATAACACCTTAAACTATTATAAATAGACAACTAGCAACCTTTGTTATAATTTTTAATCTAATTTCCATCAAGAGTTCTTGATAATTTAAGATGATTAATCCAAGAGAGGAGGGTAGGAAACTGTGAAACACTATCAGCAATGTCTTAAGAGCACGTGTAAGAAAGAGAACTGGTACCAGCTAAGTAGTGAGCTATAAGCACCCTTGTGGTAGAAGGCATGATGGCTGGCATGGGGAATTCCCATATCTCTGAAAGTTGCAGACACCACATACTGGCATGGGAGGGACTCCTCCTCTCCCCCCCCAAGAAGATCATGCTCTCTTGGATCCACTGTAGAACAGGCCTGTGTGTTAGCTGAAGCCCCCTGCTATTGTTCTTTTGAACGCTAGGGGCTAAAATGCTGGCCCCATTGAAGTTAATGTCAGAATTCCCACTGACTTCATTGGGGTGAGGCTTTTACCATAAGTTTGGAATTCTGATACCCTACAGGGTGGGGGAACTCACTCCATTTACCAGCTTGCTACTAGTGCACCCACACTGCCAAAATAAGGACTTTGTTCCCTGGGTCGCTATAATACAGGAATTATCTCACCTGCGCACTTGACTCATTTTTACACAATCCCTGGTTATGAACATTTGTTGGCTAAAGAGAAGTGTTTTATGCATTAAAAACACTGGCCCAGCAACAATCTAGTCTATTGAAGTTCTCATACTGTGTCCATTAGTGTGATACCTTTGCACCTGAGATGGGACAAACATTTCATCGAGGCACTGAGCTTCACACAAAGCAGGGAGTAGATACTTCTTGTGATGAGACGCTAATTTATTGTTGCTTTGTTACTTGTATTACAGTAGCCCTAGAGACCTCTTTCAAATAGAAAGACAGTGCCTTACCCCAGATAGCGTACATTTGTGGTTTCTGTGACAATACGCAAGAAGTGTATGTCTTCCCTCCACTTCTTTTTGTATTCGGGGGTTCTGGAGTTGTGCTGTGACTCAACTCAAAATTCTCAGGTATGATGCAGGACTCAAAAGTGCTGGACTCCAAGGAGCCAGTGTTCTTTGCAGGCACATGTTGGACCTGGGAGGGGAACGGCCTCTGGACAAGTGCCACGTGGCTAAGGCAGAGAGGAGTTGCTGCTGGTCCCTGTAGCTAGTATTGTCCATGGACGGAAGAACATGGCTGGGTTTTGGCTTACAGGATTTCATGTCTTGCTCACCTAGCAGGAGCATGTTTTGAAGGAGAGCATTATGCATCCATATAGTGTCCATGAGTAGCTTCTGCATCTCCTCCTCTTTTTCCATGCTCCCCATGGCCATGATAATGTTTTCCTTGGCCATGGCAACACTTTCTTAGCCACTGCCACAATCTCCTTGGAGAGCTGCATTTCTTTTTCTCTCTGGGCCATCATGTACCGCCTCCACCTCAGTCAGTGTGATCTTCTGTGGGGACTCTGCCATGATTGCTACAAACATCCCCCACCAAGTCTTCCTTTTTTTGCCCCCTCAAGTTTGTCAAACTCAAGTTTGAGTCTCTCAGCAGTATATAGACCATTTTTGATGGTCAGGCTGTTGCAGGTACTATGTCTGTGGGAGTAGGGGGAGAAAAAACAGACAGGCCATGATAGCATTTTTTTAGTGTGTGTGACTTTTTCTCCTTCAGAATCTCCCCAGTCTTAGGGAAATCTCAGAAGTGGTAAGTGGCCTGCATGTGAGGAGGTGCTGGATGCATTGGGATTTCTGTCTGCTGTAGGTTTCAGAGTAGCAGCCGTGTTAGTCTGTATCCGCAAAAAGAAGAACAGGAGGACTTGTGGCACCTTAGAGACTAACAAATTATGCTCTAATAATTTAGAGAACAAGTCCTCCTGTTCTTCTGTCTGCTGTAGGTGCTACTTGCTGCTGAGCCTTAGTAGGTTGGGGATGGGGTTGGAGTTATGCTCCTGATTTGGTTCTGCAGTTTTGCCTGTTTGCTGGAGGCACTTCTTCAGTGTAAGAGAGGTTAAAGGGAGCATCGGAGGCAAGTTGGCTAGTAATCCCCTTTGCAGCCTCTTTAGGCTGCCCTGCATATCGATGATGATAACTGAGACAGGTGACTCTGAGGCAGAGAATCATCTTTTTCAAAAAGGCAAAGGACAGACCAGCGAGATACTCCACAGTATCACAGGATGCCCTCCCCCCGCCCCAGGAATGCTGCAGGGGTAGAAAGCGCTTATGGATTATACCAGGGGAAACAGGTGTGTGTCTATTCCCTATATGTGAAAACAAAAATTGCTCAATTCCTGAGTCTTAAGTTCTGTTTTATCTTCCCTGCAGACATAAGGAAAGTGCATAGAAAAATAGAAATGGTGCTGCCATGATCCTATTTACTTGGTACTACACAACATTTTGATTTAAAAGAAAAAACCCTAGAACAATATAAAATTACTATGGCCACACATTAAATGAATTAAAAACTGGCTAATTGATGGGACTCAAAATGTAACTGTAAATTGGGAATTTATAAAGTGGGTGTGTTTCCAGTGGTGTCCGGCAGGGATTGGTTCTTGGCCTTACGCTATCTAACATCTTTATCAATGACGTGGAAGCAAATATAAAATTATCACTGAAAGTTTGTAGATGACAGACAAATTAGGGGAGTGGTAAATAATGTAGAGGACAGGTCACTGATTCAGAATGATCTGGATTGCTTTGTAAACTGGTTGCAGGCAAACAATAGTTTCCAGTGTGGGAAGCAGGTGGACCTTTAATAGTTAAGCACTGGAATAAAGTGCCTCGGGAGGTTGTGGAATGTCCATCATTATCTAACCTGCTCTTAAAAATCTCTAAACACCTGGATAGTCTACATAATACTTAGTCCTGCCATGAGTGCAGGGACTGGACTAGGAAACCTCTCCAGGTCTCTTCCAGTTCTAGGATTCAATGATTATGTATTTTAATATGGCTAAATGTAATTGTTATACATATAGGAACAAAGACTGTAGGCCATACTTACAGGATGGGGGATTCTATCTTGGGAAGCAGTGAGTCTGAAAAAGATTTCAGATTCATGGTGGATAATCAGCTGAACATGAGCTCCCAGTGTGATGCTGTGGCCAAAAGAGCTAGTGCAATCCTGTGATGCATAAACAAGGGAATCTCAAGCAGAAAGAGAGAGGTTATTCAACTTCTATATTTGGCACTGGTGCTACCGCTGCTAGAATACTGTGTCCAGTTTGGTGCCCATAATTTGAGAAGGATATTGATAAATTGGAGAGGGGTCAGAGAAGAGCCACGAGAATAAGAACATAAAAACGGCCACACTGGGTCAGAACAAAGGTCCATCTAGCCCAGTATCCTGTCTTCCCACCGTGGCCAATGTCAGGTGCCCTAGAGGAAATGAACAGAACAGGTAATCACCAACTGATCCATTCCTTGTCACCCATTCCCAGCTTCTGGCAAACAGAGGCTAGGGACACCATCCCTGCCAATGTAATAGCCACTGATAGACCCATCCTCCATGAACTTATCTAGTTCTTTTTTGAACCCTGCTATAGTTTTGGCCTTCACAACATCATCTGGCAAAGAGTTCCACAGGTTGACTGTGTGTTGTGTAAAGAAATACTTCCTTTAGTTTGTTTTAAACCTGAATGATTAAAGGATTAGAAAATCTTCTTTGTAGTGATAGACTCAAGGAACTCAATCTATTTCGCTTAACAAAGAAGATTAAGGGGTGACTTGATTACAGTCTATAAATTCTGACATATGGAACAAATATTTAATAATGAGCTCTTCAATCTAGCAGAGAAAGATGTTACACAATCCAATGGCAGGAAGTTTAAGCTATACAAATTAAACTGGAAATATGATGTAAAATTTTAACCGTGAGTGTAATTAACCATTGGAACAATTTCCCAAAGTTCATGGTGGATAACCCATTGCTGACAATATTAAACAAATATTGGATGTTTTCCTAAAAGACATGCTCTAGGAATTATTTTGGGGAAGTTCTGTGGCTGTGTTGTACAGGAGGTCAGGCTAGGTGATCACAATGGTCCCTTCTGGCCTTGGAATCTAGGAATAAAGCTATGATTGACAGCTAGATTACATAGGGGACGTCATCGGGGAACTGTTTGTTCCTTTTCCAGGCATGCAGTGTCCAAGTCTACCTCATGTAGACTATGAACACTCACCAAACTTTTCTCTGTAACCACTGTCTTAACAAACTGTTGAATTTTTCACAAATGAATCTGTTCATTATTCAAATGTGCGGGGGGTGGGGAGGGGGATATGTGCCATGCTATCAGGTACTATTTTGGTTTGTTGTGGGAGGGAGGGTTTGCCAGGCAGGATAGACAAAGGAAGGCAAAAGGGAGAATAGACAGATGGGCAAATGCCATCCATGCTGCTGTCCTGAAAACTGTCAATAGTTGTGGCTTTGCCATGAGACAGGCCCAGACAGAGCAGCTGCCATTTTGGAACCATGTATAGAGGGACTGAAAGGGCATCATGGGCCAATGGAGGAAGGCAAGGAGGTGGGGGATAGATACCCAGAAGGGCTCCTAGCTCACATCTATCTAAAATAGCTGTGGCCATGGGGCACCTGGAAGAAAAGGCAGAAAGGCAGTGTGGCATAATAATAATACTTAAGTTAAGGATGGGTACTTACATGCTGAAGTTCCTTCTGAGGGATCTGCTTCTTTGATCCCATGCTGAGTTCTTGGCTGGGACTTGGGCTTGGCCAATCTAGGGCAGGAATTGTGATCTGTGTAAGTAGGGCAGGACTGTGGCTGGCTTTGCAGCTGGCCAGCATCAGGGACTTGAATCCTACAAAGATCCTGGCTCTCATAGAAAAGCTCCTCACCAGCATCTGCCTGCTTATCCTCTGATGGGTGTTGCCAATCATCCTCAGTGGGGATGGGAGGGAGAGTGCGGCCAGCAGGGTGCACCCCATGTCTGGAAACAGTTGCTCTATAATTGTCTAGGAGCTTGTTCGGGTCATGATAAAAATGGACAGGTCACATATCCCTTGCTGGATTGCCTCCTTTTGCCCCTCAATTCAATATTTTTCCCCTAGATTTGCTTGTTACAGCACTGGCTGACATCCCAATGGACATCTGCTTTGAAATGTTCACAAAAAGGTCTTTATTCTGGTGGCTGGCCAAAAGAGCTTCCTGCACTAAATCTTCTCCCCAGATGGCAATGAGATCCAGGCTCTCAGCATGGCTCCAGGCAGCTGCATGAGGCTTTGTGTGGGGCTTCTGGAGTGCTATCGTGCTTGAATTGCAAGAATGCTGATATACTTGGATCCAGGAGCAAACGGGTACATTTTGGCTCTGTGCCAGCTTTCAAAGGACAGCTGGAGGGATAACATCCTGGGAACTTGACCCCAGAGCAGGGGAGGGAACACAGGTGAATGAACAGGTCACTGAGATTGACCTGCAAAGCCATTGTGGGATAGCCATTAGAAGCATGGAAACCCAGCCAGAATATTGTATAAACATTATCAGAGGAATTTGCTAGTGTAGCAAGACTACTTACTTATAATTGAAAGTGCTGAGAAGCACTTTACAGTGTTACTCAAAAGGGGAGGAGAAGAAAGAGGTTTGAGTTCTTGAACTTACTTGATGTAGTCCTAAGCTTGTTTTGTATGTAGCATTAAAAATACAGTGTGGGTGGATGCTAGCTTTACAGTGCACAAACATCTTAAACTCCTGAAGAACAGTATAATGATTCACTTACTATACATACTACTGTACAATGAATGACATTATGTTCCAAATTTCGGGAGGGCAACCCAGGCACAGTAAATAATGAGACATTTTCTATCCTGTACATGTCAAGGCTGATTGTCTTGTCTTGTTTTTGTTTTTTTAACAAGGGGGAAAAAATCTTTTCAATGTTTTGAAATCAAGACCACATTGATGCATTTTCTTTGTAGCAATAACAAACAGGCTGTTCTCAACGATCTGAGGACACTTTTCTACTGTTTCAAAGTGAAAGTTGTTTGTTTATTTATACAATAAACAACATTTTTGAGGTTGATTGGGTAGGTTGAGGAAAGTGTAACATTTCTCCCAGTGGAGTAAAAGATGAGCAATTAGATTAAAAGACAAAATGTAAAACCTTCGACAATTACAATCATCTAGTCTGAGACCATAGTCTCACTCCTTAGATGACAGTGAAGAAGAGTGAGGAACAACCTAGAGTTGTTTTTAGATTCACCATAGCATCTGAGTGCTGCCTTTGCTATTCTGTCAGATGTGCTATGGCATTTGGGCGAAGGGAGCATTGTCTGGATCCATATCAGTTTTAGGTTGGGCTTCAAAACCAAGTCGGGATTCCACAATACCAAAATTTTTCATTCTGTTCTCACAAGATTTCTGCCATGTTAGGTATTCTCATGATATTCAGGTCTATGTGCACTTTTGACTATTGTGAAGCCAGGTAACTGTCGGATTGCAGTTTTGGATCTGATGTTCACTGTAGGTGTGGGTTTGGTTCTATGGATTCCAGTCAGTCTTTTCTGAAATATTAGAATTCAGACTCAGGGTTCTGATTGTGATTGTTCTCTTTTAAATCTTTTCCTCTTCAGCAGGCAGAGTTCTATAAAGTTCTTAAGTACTCTAGCTTTACAGAATAGCTTTGAAAAAACAAGGCCATGCATAAAAGAAAAACACATAATTAATAATTATTACTGCCTGTTGTTGCAGTATATAGTAGTAGGAGGGATATATTACCGACCACCTGACCAGGATGGTGATAGTGACTGTGAAATGCTCAGGGGGATTAGAGAGGCTATAAAAATAAAAAAACTCAATAATAATAATAATAATAATTAATAATAATAATAATGGGGGATTTCAACTATCCCCGTATTGACTGGGTACATGTAACCTCAGGACGGGGTGCAGAGATAAAGTTTCTTGACATCTTGACTTAGTCCTAAGTGGAGCACAGGATCTGGTCCAAGAGATGAATATAGCTGAACTGCTTGTTAATAGTGACCATAACATATTAAAATTTAACATACCTGTGGGGAGGACAACTTCTCAGCTTGGAAAAGAGATGATTAAAGGGGGGATATGTTAGAGGTCTATAAAATCATGACTGGTGTGAAGAAAGTAAATAAAGGAAGTGTTATTTACTCCTCATAACACAAGAACTAGGGGTCACCAAATGAAATTAATAGGCAGCAGGTTTAAAACAAACAAAAGGAAGTATTTCTTCACACAACACAACAGTTGTGCTTGTCTGATATCCCTACCCCAAAACTCCCTTCATCCCCCAACATAATTATTAATTGCAACTGACTTAGGACTGATGTATAGGTCTAGGCAAAAACTGCAAAAGGAAAGGGGTTGGGATGAATAACCTCTGAGTTGGCAGGCCAATCAGATCCTAAGCATCTCAGGATTTATTGCATTGGCGTTTTCCTAATTTACCTAGGAAACCAAAACAATTACTGGTGGAACAAAATTAATTTAGAAAAGGTGGATTCTTATACCACACATTTCTAAACCACTAGGCTGAAATGTTATAATATTTTCAATGTCGGCATCCAAAAGTTAGCCAGTGAATTAGTGAAGATTAATATATGTTAAGACCAGAAGACACCACTGAATCATCTAGACTGACCTCCAGTTTAACAAAAGTCATAGAATTTCACCATATACCTCTGTATTGAGCACGATAATTTGTGTTTCACCAAAGTATATCTTCTAGAAAGGCATCTGTCTTGACTTGAGGATTTCAAGAAATGTAGAATATAGCATTTCCCTTTGTAGTTGGGAATGGTTGGAGCAACAAGTTCTTAAAATAATAGTTCTTGGAAAGTGTCAATGTTCATAGTATGGAGGCCAAAACTTTTGGGCTTTGTACTGCTCCCTCATCAGATCTCATGTTTGTCCTAACTGAATAGCTTCCTCCCCCAATAGCACGTTCTGTAGTTAGCTAACAGACCAAGGGCATCTAATCCCTCCTCCTAGTGTAACAATAAGCTAATGATAGTTTCTTAAAGTTGTGTTTTTTATGTAAAGCTATTTTAAACTGAAATAGCTAACTTCCACGATTAAAAAATCAGATCTTAAGAGCAATTGTTCCATAAAGAAAACGTGAGATTTTATCCTGATATTTGTCACTAAACCAGATGTTTATCCAAGAAGTCAAATCTGTTTGTCTCCTCTCTGACAAGAATGCAGCTGTTTAAGTAGTTTCCAAAGCAGTATCTGTATCAGTGGCAGACATCTGTGCTAGGAAAGCAATGTGCAGACAATAGTCTGTTTACAGAAGATAATCATTTCCACCCCCAATACTATGCAGACATTTCAAGAAAGAAACTGCTACAGCATTAAATCAGGGCCGCCCAGAGGATTCAGGGGGCCTGGGGTCTTCGGCGGCGGGTCCCAGGGCGGAAGGACCCCCCGCCTCCGAATTGCCATCAAAGACCCGGAGCGGAAGAAGCTCCGGGGGCCCGGGCCCCGCAAGAGTTTTCCGGGGCCCCCGGAGCAAGTAAAGGACCCATTCCAGGAGCCCCGAAAAACTCTCAGGGGGGCCCCTGTGGGGCCCGGGGCCTGGGGCAAATTGCCCCACTTGCCCCGCCCCCGGGCGGCCCTGCATTAAATTAGGTTTGGGTGATGTGCACCCATCAGTCTTGGTCAACAATAGGTAGGAAAAGCACCAATGTGATCGTTTCTTTTATGTAACAATTGTTTTTTTAAATGTCAGCTTGAGAGTTTCCCCCCCTAAACTTGGAAATAAACAGATTGTTTTAAAAATAGAAAGAGCAGAAAAATAGCATTTAATAGAAAGAGCCTAGTTTTTATGATAGCACTGTGGGTAGCTCCTCGAAAGAACTTGTGAGCTGTAGATGACTCAATAGTAGGCAGCATTTGTCTAAGCAGAGCACACTAGAGGACTGGGACCATTTAGGGTCAGATTTCATATTTAGGTGCCTAAAGAATGCAGATAGGCATCTAGTAAAATCCCACTAGATGCCTATCTGCATTCTTTAGACACTTAAATACATCTAGAAATCTGGCCTTAGTCCCTACAAAATTAATGCCCCAGCAGGACACTAGTACAGCTTTTCCAGGAAGGACCATCTTTTGGTTACGACGGAAAGTCAAGACTTTGGCCACTTACGCTCATTAAGGGTTCCATAGCACCTTTTGAAAGTCTGAAGCTAGGACCCAGGAGTTAATTTTAACTTGATGTGGATAACTTTTAGAGTTGGTAGAAATTTCAAACTAAGATTTTCAAAGCTAAATATGGCCCTTTATTTAAAACACCTGTGGAAAAAATAATTTAATGGAAAAACCCAAATACACCATTTTGGGCCAAAAAATGGGAAGGGGGAGGATGAGAAAAATAATCATTTCTTTCTAATCGTCTCGTGAAAAATACTTAAGTTTTTGACCACCTCTACTAATTAGTTTGCTTAGCAATATTCCTGCTACATTTTCGCCTGAATGTAGTATGGTTCTTCCATTCCTGACTTAAGTTGCTGTGAGCTTTTCACACTGTTATATTCCATCTCTGAAGTAGCTGGATTTCACTGTCAAGTGAGTCCTGATCATGGAAAAATTGTAAAATACTTTGAGAATCTGTGGGATGAAACACACTCTCTATAATTATGCTAATATCAAGTTAATTCTGAATTTATCTTTTTTAACAGTTGAGGGATTGACATTCAGTGCTGGTGATATAGTACATTTATTATTCACTTATGAAAAAATGAAGTTACTTTATCAGCTAATGGAACACTTACAAATACATAAAGCTGTGTCATCTCATGTTCTTTCTCTTTTTTTTTTCCTTCATAGGAAAGTCAGACCCAAATTTGGGGGTACTGTAGGTTTTCATCTCCTGTTTAGAAATCAATGCACATTACTGTCTTATACATAGACAAGAACTAATGTAAAAACCTCCTAGTTCTGTACAATCTTAGAAAAGTCGCAGCTTAATATCAATGAGTTTACTGTGTATGCCACAGTGGAATAAATCTAATGTTACCACTGTGCATGCTTTATCAGTACATTTACAAACCACTCTTACCAGATGTCTTGCTTTGTTTGAGCTATTAATGCCCAACTGATGGCCCTCATCCCTTCATAGACATAGGTGAATAGCTGGACCTCGGCAAAGCCCTACTGAAATCAGTGGGTTGCCACACAGGTGCAGCTATCCCCTTGACTTCATGTATTCAATTGCAGAATTCGGATATATATTAGCAGCTGCTTTCTAGCCAGAAAATTCATTCTCAAATGTGTTACTGATGTGTGTCACATGCACATTTTGCGATAATAGTCACAATTTCCAGTGGACAAATTTCTAGAGGGAAAGGAAAAATTCTGCAA